ATGAGGTCTTGCCAAGTTGTTCAGGCGAGTCTTGAACCCATGGGCTCAGGCAATCCACTCACCTCAACCTCCCAAAAGCGTGGGATTACAGGCTGAACCACCGAGCCCAGCTTAGCCTCGAATTCTTAGGCTCAAGTGGTCCTCCTGCCTCCTAAATAGCTGGGATTACCTGGCTAGGTCTGTAGTTTTTTTAATGAAATTTTGTGGTTTTTAAACATGCATGTTTTGTCTTTTGTTAAATGTATTCTTTGGTATTTTATTTTATTTAATGATAATGATGCTATTGTAAATATAATTGTTTTGTTAATTTTAGTGTTAGGCTTTTCATTGCTAGTGATACAAATATAGTTGATTTTTGTACACTGATGGTTTGCCTTTAAATTGCCAAATTCTTTCTTTCACTTCATTCATATTGTTCCCTGAAACTGCAATTGTAAAAATACTTTTATTTTATAACTTTTCCTTTTTCTTTCTTTCTTTTTTTTTTAAAGATGAAAGTCTTGCTATGTTGTCCAGGCAGTCTTTAACTTCTCGTCTTAGTGATGCTCCCACTTCGGCCTTCCAAAAGTTCTGGGATCACAGGTGTGAGCCACTGTGCCTGGCACCTTTTTCCTTTTTTGGAGACTTTTTTCCTTTCCTACCAGGTAGACTTGAACTGCATCAATACTGAGCTATTTTCAGCATGATGATATGCCTTCAAACGTTTTGAGTATTTGTTAAATGCATCTCTAGACAGTTTTTTAACACCTGCTTTTCTGTGTGGTCTTTACCTGGCTCCTCCTTCCTGGGTTCTGTCCCTTGTTGCTTAGGTACCTTAATTCAGTTAGGTACCTTAATTCTGGCCTTGTGTACCTCACGTGCCCAGTCTCTAAACCATGAGCTAGGTCCTTTGCTGTGACTTGCTGCCAAGACATTCATTGTCTACATGCTCATTTTTGCCACTGTTAGGTAATTCTTTTAGGATATTAGTGGCAGAGGACTGATTTTTTTCACTTCTGCTTAGAAGGTAGTGAAAATTATAGAAATATGTGCATAAAATTTAACTAGTAATTTTAATAAACTAGTAATTAATAAAATTAACTAGTAATTTAATAAAACTTAATCAGTAAATTTTATTTCATTTATTTTTTTGACTCAGAGTCTTAACTCTGTTGCCTAAGCTGAAGTGAAGTGGCACAGTCATGGCTTATCATATAGCATAGCCTCCACCTCCTGGAGCCTTCACCTCCTAAAGCTATACTCTGTCCTCAGACTCCTGAGTAGTGGGACTGCAGGTACACTACTACTGCCTGGCTAATCTTTTGTTGCTTTTTTTGTAAAGATGAGGTCTAACTATGGTGCCCAACCTGGTCTCAAACTCCTGGGCTCACGTGGTCTTCCTGCCTTGTCTTTCCAAAGTGCTGGGATTATAGGTGTGAGCCACCACACCTGGCTAACTAGTAAATTTTAAAAAGTGGATTTTATTAATGATTTTCGTAATGAGAAATAGTGTTGTGGTGATTTCTATCTTTGATTAGGTTAAATTTCAGTGATTATAGTACTTTTCATCCTGAATCATTGCATTAGAAATGATTTACTGTTGTTACTATTAACTTACAGAGCCTGTTGCTGTTTCTGATCTGCAGGGTGCACATTAGAATTCAGTTAGCCGAGTCTCACAGAACTACAATTTGTCAAACCCTAATTAGGTAAAGAGTATCATTTTGTATGTGATACCTTCTGGTGCTAATAGTGCCAATGCAGCAATAACTTTATTGATCTCCGCTGGTGAAATGTTATTAGACCTGCAAGGAAATGGTCCTTTAGTGCTGTATTTCTCTTTGAGTAGTTCATTAGAAAGAACATTCAAAGGATTTTAAATTGCTTTATTCTTGCTTTGAGCTAGCGGAGTCTTTTTCTAAATCATTTTTTAAGGTTGGCTTTCAATTCATTTTTAAAAGTTTGAAAGTAGAAAAGATCTGCCTTGGCCCATTCTTACCTTCATGCAGTTCAGAAAGGACGGCTGCCATGAGGGGTTATATCTGATCACGCTCCTTCTGTGATCCTGGTCCTGACATGAGAATAGATAAAAACTGGGAGGGACAGGAACATGTTGCTGTGTGTGGCACCAACTGGAGTCTGCAGGTGAAGGCCTCCAAGGCCTTTCTGGCTGGTCTGAGCTGGGCTGTCTTTGCCGGGTGGAGAGCCAGCCGTCCCAAACCCCCACGCCTTCCAGTAGTCTGACTCTGTAGCTCTCAGTGCCCCCTCCAGTCCCATATCCATACCGCTTGCTCCATGAGCGGCTGTGGCAGATCTAGGAGCCCCCAGAGGTGTTATATATTTAGGTCCTCTGCATCTGTGGGTTCCACATTTGTGGAGTCAACCGACATCGGATCAAAAATTTGGGAAAAATGGCTAGGCATAGTGGCTAAGCCTATAATCCCAGCACTTTGGGAGGCCGGGGCAAGAGGATTGCCTGGGCCTGGGGGTTCGAGACCAGCCTGGGCAACTTGGTGACACCATGTCTCTACAATAAATCACAAAAACTAGGCAGGTGTGGTGATGTGCTGTGTGTCTGTAGTTCCAGCTACTTGGAAGGCTGAGGTGGAAGGGTGAGGTGGAAGGGTTGAGGCTGCGGTGGCCGTGAGCATGCCACTGCACTCCAGCCTGGGCAACAAGAGTGAGATTCCACATCAAAACAGAAAAAGAAAATATGAGAAATAAAATTTCCACAAAGTTATGAAAACCAAAACTTTCCAGCTTGTCTGTACTCTGTGGAAGCCTCATGAATGATGTGAAGGGTAGGCGTTGTATTAAGTATTATAAGTTATCTAGAGATGATTTACAGTGTTCTGGAGCATGTCTGTGGGTTATATGAAACAACGTGCCATTTTGCATAAGAGAGGTGAGCATCCATGGATTTTGGTATTCTGTGTGTATGGGGGCGTTGTGTCCTGGAATGAATCCCCTGTGGTTACCAAGGGATGACTGTATTTGGTGATATTTTTCTTTAAAGAGAGTACTAAATGCCGTGTTTAAAAAAAAAAATCTTGTAAAACTTTGTCTCTTGTCTTTTCCACCTCCTCCTTCTAGCCCTGATTCCCAAAGGCAGACACTGAATTGCTTCTTTTCAGAAATTTTTGTTCATTTCATATCTCCAGCACCTCCAGTGGCGCCTGACTTGGCGCATAATAACTGTTGGTTGAATGAATGAATGTCCTTTTTTTGTTCTCAGACTTTATAAAGAGATTGATTATCATACAATTTTAGGTTGGATATCATTTTTCTTCTTGAATGGCATTGCTTTACTATCTTAGCATATAGTGTTGCTATTTATAAATAGATTTCATTCTGATCTTAGGTTGTTTGCATGTGACCTGTTTTTCCTTTTTGTAAACTTTTGTGATCTCATGTTATGACTTAAAAAAAAAAATTAAGCGTCAGCTGTAGTAGCTCATGCCTATAATCACAGCACTTTGAGAGACCAAGGTGAGAGGACTGCCTGAACCCAGGGATTTGAGACCAGCCTGGGCAACTCGGCAAGACCTCATCTCTACAATAAATAAAAAATTAGCCAGGTGTGGTGGCTCATGCCTGTAGTTCCAGCTACTTGGAAGGCTAAGGTGGAAGGATCCGTGTCAAAAAAAAAAAAAAAAAAAGGCATGTAGGGGAATTCTGAAGACTAATCTCATTCAGTAAAAGGATATTTCCTTGAATCATTTATTTGATAGGTCTCTGTCCTTATCTTAACTTCCTGAATAAAGATTGAAAAAATCTGTTTTCTCTGCTGTTTATTTTTTTCAGACAGGGGTTTATTTTACCCTGTTACCCAGGCTGGAGTGCAGAGGCATGATCATGGCTTACCACATCCATGACTTCCTGGGCTCAAGTGATCCTTTTGCTTCAGCCTCCCAAATAGCTGGGATGACAGGCACGTACATCACTACCCACTAATTTTTGTATTTTTTGTAGAGACAGGTTTTTGCTTTGTTGCCCAGGCTGTTCTCAAATTGTCTGCCTCAAGTGATCATCCTGCCTTGGCCTCCCAAACTGCTGGGATTACGGGCATGAGCCATCTGGCCTGTTTTCTCTCTCTTTTTTTTTTCCCGGAACTTTTATTACTGGGATGTAGAACTTCATAAATTGTACTTTAATATTTTAATCTCTTGTTCTTCAATGATTGGGCTCTGACTTTGTGTTCTAATTTTTGGGAGATTGCCTTATCATTACCATCCATTCTTTCTAAAAGCTTTTTATTTGTGTTTTCAAATTTGAAGATCTCTTAGCCTGTTTTTTGATTATTCCTTTTTTGAATATAGCATTCTGGGATTCAGCTATTCTGTTGCATATAGGCTCGTAACCCTTTTCAAGCCCTTTACCTCACTCTTTTTCTCAGTTGTTGGTATGTTCAAGTGCTAAGTTAGTCAAGGCTTTATCTTGATGGTAGCCCTTTCTGTAGTTGTAGGTTACCAGTTCCTTTTCTCTGCTAAGTGCTTGCTTTTTTTTTTTTTTTTAACATGTGCTTTCCATCTTCTAACCCCGTTTTTTGGTTTTGCTTCATTTTTAATTGTCATTGAAATGTTAATACATTTTTCTCTTTTTTTTCAGTCAGAGTCTTACTCTGTTGCCCAGGTTGGAGTGCTGTGGCACCTTCATGGCCACCACAACCTCGACCTGCTGGGTTCAGGCGATTCTTCTACCTCAGCCTTACAAGTAGCTGGATCTATAGGCACACGCTACCATGCCCAGCTAAGTTTTTGATTTATTGTAGAGATGAGTTTTTGCCAAGTTGCCCAGTCTGGTCTCAAATCTCTGGGCTCAGGCAGTCCTCTCACCTCAGCCTCCCAAAGTTCTGGGATTACTGGCTTGCATGTATTTCATCTGGCATTTAAAAATTTTGATTAATTAAATGATTAATTAATTTAAAAATTGGTGGATAATACTTCTAGATATTTTGGGGGGTATCGCCTGCCATTTTGAAGTTGGAATTTTTCCTCTTCCTTTGAGGTCCTGATAATTTTATGGTTGCAATTGAAATGGCAAGTTAGATATATAAATTTATAATTTATTAGTTGATGAAAATGTTGAATGACATGTTTGTTTGATGTGTTTCAGTATCCAATAGCTGATGTACTTTGTAATAATGGATTCTTTGGATTTTATTTATGTAGAAGAAATTGAGGAAGAATCTGAAACAACAGTTGATGCTGATTTGACCGATAAACAGAAACATCAGTTGAAACACAGGGAACTCTTTCTGTCACGCCAGTATGAATCTCTGCCTGCAACACACATCAGGTAAGAACTTTTTAGCCGTTAACCTAAAGTACTCAGGAATATTTTGGCCAAAACCAAAAAAAGACACTTCATTGAAGCATTTTCCAAATTCTTCTTGCTCAAATTGACTAAAGGCATCATGATGGATTTTTCGCTTGGAAATGCATGAGTGTGGGTTAGCATACTTAAAGCCTCGCAGCAGTTCTCCAGTGAATAACCATTTTAACTTGGCTTTAATCCTGACTTTCCCAATGTATTTGAATATCTCTTAGCGTCCTGCAGAGCGGTTTCCAGCAGAAGCCATTGTGGGAAATACTCGTGTTTTCTAGCTTCCAAGAAAATTACAGCCATTAGAACCCAACAATTAGAACTCAAAATCTGGTTCCCAGGCAGGTGATTCTTGAATTTGTAGGATATATGGCTTGTTATTTTCTTTCGAGGATCTCTGGGTTGGAAACCTTTTGCTCTTAATTACCCGTTTGCTGGCATCTGATCTATGCATTGATAAGGTACAAAAGTGAGAAACTGAGCCCCTGGTTTTTCGTTTTGGAGCCTATTGAATGGTGGTGGTCTTTTATGAGCAATTAGTGGTATAACACTTAAGTGTAAATTCTGTTGAGCTGTTTTTCATTGTAGTCTATAATCGGTGCATCTTGGAAGTATAGCAGGATGTTTGAGCTCAAAACACAGGTGAATTCTGACTCTTAGCTGGGAAAGCTTCAGAGAGTTGGCATTTACTCAGCCCTCATGCGATGGTGGGGCACAGTCAGGTAGAGGGAACAGGTAAGCCTGGGGGGTGTGTGGGGTGCTGGGTGAGTGAGCAGGTGTAGTGTGTCAGTTCCGTTAGAGAAATTCCTTCAGCTATTGTTCATAATGTCTATTTCTTTTATTCAACTTTACTCATCATCATGGTTATAAAAACTACTCATATACAGAAATAAAATGTACTAATTATTTCAGTAATTGCTATCTCCTTTTTAGCCCTCAGTATCTGGATTGACTCTTAAGTCTGCCTGAGTTCAGACGGGTTTGTAGATTACCTGTCATTTCAGAAATAACTTGATATAGAACCCCCTCAACATCTTATCACTGTTTTATTTAGATTTTGTTGTTGTTGTTAATTGAGATGGAGTCTTGCTTTGTTGCCTTCGACTTCTGGACTCTTGACTTAGCTTCCCAGGTAGCTGGAGTTACAGCCATGTGTCACTGTCCCCGGTTATTTAGGGGTTTTTTTTTTGAGTTGGAGTCTCACTATCGCCCAGGTTGGAGTGCAGTGGCACACTCATGGCCACCCCAGCGTCAGCCTGCTGGACTCTGATGATCCTTCTGCCTCGCCTTCCAAGGAGCTGGAACTACAGGCGTGCGCTACCACACCCAGCTAATTTTTATTTATTTATTGTAGAGACGAGGTCTTGCCAAGTTGTCTGGGCTGGTCTCGAACCTGCGAACTCAAGCATTCCACTCGCCTCAGCCTCCCAAAGTGCTGGGATGACAGACTGAGCCACCGAGCCCGGCCGATTTAGGGTTTTCTTGAGGGCACTGTGGTTAGATTGGCTAGAGTTAGTATAGTTTATGTGACTTACATCTTTTGTTGGAAGAAATAATTTGGCCAAGTAACACCACCAATAGAGGTATTTCAAGAAGCAAAAATAGAGAGCAAGTTAATAATTTTTGTTTAAAAAGATGGTACATGAAAACATATCTTGAGATTTTCTTAACGTTGTAAAATACTAATAAATGCTAAAGTGCCATATGCATTTATTATTTAGTTGGAAAAAGCATAAAGATTCATTTTTAAGCTTAAGAAGTTATGTGACCAGTCATATAAATCTTGCCAGAACAAGAATTTGACAAATGGTTTTAAAGATGTATTTAAAACATGCAAGTGTATTTTTAATTTACTTTCCTGATAGCTTTGAATCTGTTTACAAGTAACGTCGATTTCCTTTAACAGATTGCTTGGAATGGAAAAATTCGTGATGTGTTTTTTATCTTCCATAAGGACTGAGAGAGTATATTAACCTACGTCTATAATTATCAAAGACACTTTCTGTGTTGAACACAAAAATTACATAGGATACATGATCACTGAGTTACTGTTGAACACATATTCTAGGTTATAGAGCTTACGAAGAGCTTAATAATGAAGATATGTGCCTCAGCTTAAAAACTCAAGTTTGCTAGGTGGTAATTCCTTTGAATTAAGATGAAGAGACTCAGACATTGGGGGATTTTGTGTTTGTTCTTTTCCAAGTGGCGAGGGAGTAGTCAGAGCCACATTCTCTCGTCTGTGGCTCTCATTTTTAGACTGCTGAGTGGGGCTGGGGGCATTCTCTGGCCAAGGCACGGAGCTGTGTAGCCAGCCCACATGCTGATGTAGAACAGGGGCACATTGCAGTGGTCTTGACATTTGCTAATGCTGAAGCTGTGCCCTACCTATTCCTACTTTAAAAGGAGAAAATTACTGTAGTCCTATTGTTCTTTGGCAACAAAAAGGTATAATTTGATGAATACTGACTCTTTACTCTCAGGGACATTATCAAGTGCCCAGAATTTCCTTGGTGCTATATGGAACATAAGAGAAGACCTGGCTGAGGCATTCTTGATGTCCTTTGTAGCCTGTGAATGGAGTATTCAACTGGATGCTATAGGCGTCCCAAAGTGGACCGGACCTGGGATGTTCCTGGCTAGGGTTAGTGATTCACCTCTTGTTTACAAGATGGGTGGGGCTCAAGCAGAGAGAATCCCCTTGGGACAGTTTTTGGGTAGAAGGAAAGAGGCAGCATGCTTCATGCATGCACAGTGACTTGAACCATTTAACAGTAGATTACATACTGCAAGCACTGTAAAGCAGTCTAAGACTCACTGTGATGCCAGCTGCTAGACCCGATATGTGTGTATTTTCCTGTATTCAATCTGTGTGTGTATGACTACTGTCTTTACTAATAGATTTTCTTACACACTGTAAATATTCAACGACTCTTTACATTTGTATCATCTGATTCACAAATCTCTCTTCATTCTGAATTCATCCATAAGTAGACTATGAAAATTTGTAAATTTGCGGAGAGCAACGCAGCAACTCACAATTGGAGAAGGTTGATGTGCTCGTTATTGAGCTATTGTCTCTTATCTGTAAACCTTTGTGTGCTTTATGATACCAGGGCTACTGTCTTCAGTATTAAATATATACCCCAGGCTTATATGTGGCTCATAGGTACTGTATTGAATTTGACTTTTAAAAATTCTAAAATAGGCCGGGTGCAGTGTCTCATGCCTATAATCCCAGCATTTTGGGAGGCTGAGGTAAGAGGATTGACTGAGCCCGCGGGTTTGAGACCAGCCTAGGCAACTTGGCGAGACTTCATCTCTACAATAAATCAAAAAATTTGCTGGATGTGGTGGCATGTGCCTGTAGTTCTGGCTACTTGGAAGGCTGAGGTGGATGGATTGCCTGAGCCCAACAGGTCGGGGCTGTGTTGGCTATGAGCATGTCATTGCACTCTAGCCTGAGCAACAGAGTGAGACTCTCAACTCAAAAAAAAAAAAAAATTCTAAAATGTACTTGGTGATAGATACTATTCCTGTGGTTTTTTTTTTGTTTGTTTTTTTTCTGAGTTGGAGTCTCACTCTGTCGCCCAGACTGGAGAGCAGTGGCTGTCCCAGCCACCGCAGCCTCGACCTGCTGGGCTCCAGCGATCCTTCCGCCTCAGCCTTCCAAGTAGCTGGAACTACAGGCGCGCGTTACCATGCCCGACTACTTTTTTTTGATTTATTGTAGAGTTGAGGTCTTGCTGCCCAGGCAGGTCTGGAACCCGCGGGCTCAGGCAATCCACTCATCTCAGCCTCCCAAAGGCACGGGATTACAGGCTGAGCCACCGAGCCCGGCTGTGGTTTTATATGTATCTATAAAGTAGGTCTTATTATTGTCCCCATTTTACAGATGGAAGAGACTGAAGCACAATATGGTTAAATAACTTGTTAAAATCTCACAACTCATATGTATGGCATATTCAAAAATTGAACCCAAGGCCTGGTGCAATGACTTACACTTGTAATACCAGCACATTGGAAGGTGGAGGCAGGAGAATTCCTCGAGCCTAGTCAAGACCAACTTGGGAAATATAGCAAGACCTCATCTCTGTGGAAAAAATAAAAAAAATTAGCTGGGTGTGGTAAAGCATGCCTGTAGTTCCAGCTACTTGGGAGGCTGAGGCGGGAGGATCGCTTGAGCCCAGGAGTTTGAAGCTTGGTGAGCCATGTTCATGCTACTGCACTCCAGTCTGGGCAACAGTGAGACCGTGACACAAAAACAGTTAGATGGGTAGATAGATAGATAGATAAAAAAGCAACTGCTTGATTGCAGATATACAGGATTATAATGGATGCAACTGTAAGTGTCAGAAAGCATCAGCAACAGAAAGTCCTCAATAATTTGTTGAATAGATAGGCTCTTTTATTTTGTATTTTTTTACATAATTCTTCTATTTGGATGCTCAAGTCCAATGTGCAGAACAAAGTAAAAAACTTATTTGAGTATATAAACTGTACTATTATACTGAAAGATGTTACAATGCTCAATGTATACTAGGAGCTAGAAAATTCCTACTCAACTGGTCGATTGCTGCCTAAGTTCATTGATGTTTTTCTTATCTGATCCAACATCGTTTTTCCACCTCTCAAATGCACAAAGCCTGGCTTTTTGGAAGCTGCTAATTACAGCTCTGGAACGTGTAATGATTAATGCCTCTTCCCAGTTGCTGGTGAAGCTTGTTAGTCATACTTAAAAAGAGCCAATTCTTTCCTGCTTGTCAACCTTGGGATCTGAACCACAGCCTTTGAAGTTATGCTTCAGTGTGTTTTAAAAACATTTATTTAGATCCCTGCTGATTCTTGGCCTCAGTTTGTCCTCCAGTAAGGGCTTTTGGACCTGATTATTTGTTCACTCCTTTGCTACAAGGAATGAGTAAAGGAGAGAAGCCCATTATACCCATGCTGGCAGGCCTAGCTTTGGTTGAGAG